TAGAACACAACCCATTTCTCCTATGAATGAATATCTGCTATTCACAGACGGGTCACTGTGTTCAATCCGATGTGTTTGAGAGAGTAAGAGAGAGAGGGAGCAGGAGCAGGGCAAAGATGGGCTGCGATTCCACAATAATATCATATATTACCTATTTTAAATAGGCCAGTAAAATGAAAAATAAATAGGTGGCCGTGACGGACCACCGTCACCACGGTTGAGTATGCGCTGTGAGTGTCATGCCGAACGACCCTGTCCCTTTGGCGTTGCGCTCAGATTGCATGTTTGGTACCCCCGAGATTAACAGATTACTGATGGAGCACAAGAGAAATGTTAAAAACATGTGGTGTCAATGTATTTTGGGGATTTTAGCCTGCTGTTTGCATGTTCATTTCAGAATCATGAGCAAAAACTACTTGTCCAAAAACAATGAGCTCCACAAGGGAGACTACCTGATATCCAACAACAAGCAGTGGAAGGCTATCTTCCAGGTGAGTAAACCTGATATTTTGCATTCCAGAGTTTTTAAAAAAAAAATTAAAGTGTTTTACCTTTTTAAAAGAGGTTAATTTTTTTGGAAACATTTTTGATAACAGCCAAATGTCTCTGTTTGTTCCTGCAGGATGATGGTAACTTTGTCATCTATGGCTGGAAGCCTGTGTGGGCTTCAGACACTTACGGATCAGATGTTTCCCGCCTGTGCATGCAGGATGACTGCAACCTGGTCATGTACAACAAGAATAACCAACCCAGGTGGCAGACAAACTCACATGTCGGTGGTGACAACCCCTGCCGTCTTCACCTGAGCGATGACGGCAAACTGCTGGTGTACAAGGGCTCTGACGAACTTTGGAGCTCTGCTATGAACCACGGCATTAAATGATGACAAGTCTTTTAAAATTGAATGCAATGAAAGTTCAAGTCATCTTTGGATGTAAGAGTGAATTACAGTAAACCTGCCTGCTGTGTAATCTGGAATCAAATAAAAGCCAATTTAATAGTATGTGTTTTTCCTCTTATTGTACTGTAAAAACATTTTCAGTCAGTATTTAGTTGAAACCAGAACTTTTTGACATCTAATTTGCCATATAGCCTATAAAATGATATGTGAAGTAGAAATGTATAATTTTAATTAGTACAGCATTTAGGCTATAATACAGTTACAACAAAACAAGGCTAAAATCAAACTGCAGTTCTTCATGTGAATCAACTACAAGGCTAAAACAAGACACCTACTGTATATCAAGTGAAGCTAGGTAGCTACTGCTTGCACTAGCTAAAGCTAAATATACTTTTCCCCCAGGCACTCTCTAGTTTGGCTAAATGGTTAACTAGCCTAGCTTAGCACAGTATAGTAGCAACTGCCATTAAGATTTTTACAGTGTGAGTGGAAGAGGAGTAGCTGAACAAAGTGTTTAAAGAAATTTTGTCAAAAGTTAAAAGTGAAGGACACTCCTAGTCAGTAAAGGATCAAAAGTGTAACTCTCTCTTGTATATCAATATTTTGATAGTAAAAATGTTTGTGGAAACACTTTGATGTATAATTTGTTTGTGAAAACTGATAACTGGGAGACTGAAATCAGTTTCAAAATTGTATTTTGTGTCTTAAAACCCACATGTTCAAAAAAAACCCAAACATGTAATTTCAAAGTTATATGAAGTTTCTAAATGAAGGTATGTGAGACTAACTATGTGCAGAGGTGGAAATACAAAAAGAATAAATAAGTAAAGTGACTTTAGTGATTTTATGCTTAAATATAGCTCTTACTCTTAGCTCCTTAACAAACAATATGAACTTAGAAACTTTCTGATAAACAAAGATACTTTTTAAACAGAAAAACTGTTTTGGCAGAGCCTCCGTTAGACATTTTAGCTGACCGGATTGCTGGAAAGGGTTTGGTGAGTTTCTCTTCGGGTCAGAAGTTTAGTGTCGGTGTTGCTGCTGTAGAGACAGACATTCATTTATTCTTTATGCAAAAGAAACATACAGTCACATACATAGGTGTTCTTCTTCTCGTCATTTGAACTAACATGTACACCGAGCAGATTAGAAAATTTAACTAAATTTGTTTGCTTATCAAATTTATAATCAAGTCTTTGCTGTGCAATTTAGGCTACTTACTGTATCTGCAGCATATTTACATTTTTACAGCCAGACCCAGACGTACACAGTGGAAATGTTTTACCTGCCTCTGCAGTGTGCCTGCTTTATCTGAATACACTGATCTCCAACCATCTCAATGTTATAAACACTCATGTTCATCTCTCAGCAGGTCATCCAAGGAAGGCTCTTTACAGTTTTCAAACTAACTTCAAATTATAAAGTGATTTTTCAATGGTTAAATAATATATTCATTGTTACGTACTGTTTGATTTGTATTGGGTTGAATCAGTCAGCTTGTAAATTAACTGCTTTATCAAATAAAGAATTGCTGACACTCTGAGAGACTAATGGACTTGAGAATGAAGGTTAATACTCTGCATGCATCTAGAAGTAGCGTAACAATCTATGGATGTTTGAAGAGTATGGACATTTCTGGTGTTCAGAATCAGAATCACTTTTAATGGCCAGGTATGTGTACACATAAGAGGAATATGACTCCATTCTTACATATATTAGCTCTCAGTGTACATACAGAACAAGCATAAACAAACAGGACAACAAGCTAAACGAGAACACACAAACTGCAGTGTACATTACACACATACACATAAACAAAACAACAATATTTGTAGAGACAATAGTGTAATGGAGCAGAGTGCAAAGGATGCTGGAATAAATAAATATTTGTAGAGACAGGTAATATAATGTACATGAGGTAGGAGGATATGAATCGTGTTAGACAGACTGAGGCACTGGGTGGGGATCTCTGGTACTGCCCTAGAATGGTTTTCATCCTACCTGTCAAATAGGAAGTTTTGCGTGTCTGTAAACAACTATGTCTCTTTGTTCTGTCCAGTTAAATATGGTGTGCCTCAGGGGTCGGTCTTAGGACCCATTTTGTTTTCCTTGTATCAGCTTCCCCTTCGACATATTATCCATAAACATAACGTATTTCTTTTCATATTTATGCTGATGACACACAAATATACTTGCCCGTCAGATCCACAGACCCTGGAATGCTGAGTTCACTTACCGACTGCCTTTGTGAAGTTAAAAAATGGATGTCAAATAATTTCCTCCAGCTGAACTCAGACAAAACTCAAATCTTGGTCATTGGGTCCCAGCAGATGGCAAATCAAATACTGCCATCTGCTGGTTCCCTAGTAAATCACATTAAGCCTGTGGCAAAGAACCTTGGTGTTTGGTTTGATAGTAATTTAAATTTCGAGCAGCACACCACAAAGCTTGTTCAATCATGTTTTTATCAACTTAGAAATATAGCAAAAATTCGATCTATGTTAACTTTTAGGGACACCGAGACCATTTTACACGCCTTCATCTCATCACGCCTGGATTATTGCAACAGCCTTTTCACCGGTTTAACCCAAAAATCTACTGATCGACTCCAGACCGTCCAGAACTCAGCTGCCAGGCTTTTAACCAGAACGAAGAAATATGACCACATTACTCCTATTTTAGCTTCATTACACTGGCTCACAGTATGTTTTAGAATTGACTTTAAAATTCTATTGATCACTTTTAAAGCTCTTCATGGCCTCTCGCCTTGTTACATTTCAGACCTTTTAGTCCCATACGCACCAGCACGTACCTTGAGATCCTCGGGCAGAGGTCTGTTGTCTGTTCCAGAGTCTCGACTGAAAACTAAAGGGGACAGAGCGTTTGCTGTCAGGGCCCCAAGGCTCTGGAACAGCCTGCCTGAGGAAATCAGGTCAGCTGAGTCAGTGAACTCTTGTAAGTCCCTTCTTAAAACATACTTTTATAGGAGAGCTTTTCCCGATCTTATTTGACTTTATTTTATCCCTTTTATTTTATTCTATTTTACTAATTTTATATTTATCTTAAACGTGTGTTTTAGTCTTTTCAATGTTTTCTTGCTTTTATCTTTTATTGTTTTTGTATTATTGTCTTTTGGGTATTATTGTCTTTACACTTTTTTGAACTCTACAAATAAAGATTATTATATTATTATTATTATGATACAGTACTATAAAATAGATAGCTACTTCATTTCTACAACTAGGAATAAATAGTAAGTAGTAAATATGCATGTAGATGTTAAAGTCACAGGATTATTAGACAGGGATTGTTGCTGACACTGTGTGTCTGGAGTCAACTGTTAATTAGAGTGTCTGGTTATTTTGCTCTGTACCAGAGGGCAGAAGCTGGGACAGGTTGTGTCCAGGGTGGGACGGATCTGCAGTGGAGTTTCCTGCCTGTTTGCTGGCTCTGGACAAGTCCTGAACAGAGGGCAGGTTGGCACGATGATCTTTTCTGTAGTCCTGACTGTCCGTTGTAGTCTGTTCCTCTCCTGTTTGGTGGCAGATCCAAACCAGACAGTGATGGGCATGCAGAGAACAGACTGAATACTGGCTGTGTAGAAGTAGGTCGGAAGTACATTCTCTGCTGGGCCTTTTTGGTGATGGTGTCTGTGTTGTGCACCCACTTTACATCCTGGGAGATTGTGGATCCCAGAAACCTGAAGGTTTCCACAGGAGACACGGGGCTGTTGAGTATGGTGATGGAGGATAGAGATGAGGGGCTCCTCATAAAGTCCACGGTCATCTCCACAGTTTTGAGCGTGTTAAGCCCCAGGTTGTTGTGACCACACCAGAGAGCCAGCTGATCAACAACATCCCGGACTGGGCTGATGACCAGTGTGTCATCTATGAAGCTCAGGAGATTGACATATGGGTCTCTTGAGCTGCAGTCGTTGGTGTAGAGAGAGAAGAGCAGTGGGGAGAGCACACACCCCTGAGGGGCAGGAGTGCTAACTGGGGCAGCAGTGGAGGATGTCCGGATTGATGGTGTTGAACGCCTAGGTGAAGTCCACGAACAGGATCCTTGCATATGATGGAGGGTTTCTTGGAGACCAGGATGATTGTGGAGCGTTTGAAGCAGGAGGGAACTTCACACACCTCCAGTGATCTATTGGAGATCTGTGTGAAGATAGGGGGCCAGCTGGTCACTACAGAGTTTCAAGCAGGAGGCTGACACTCCGTCTGGTCCTGGTGCCTTCCTGGTCTTCTGTCTCTGAAAGTTATTCAAAAGTTTGTCTGTGTATATTATAAAACAACCAGGATATAATTTCAAGTCTACCAGTCTAAATTAATTGATTTACCATTTATTGTGCCAAGGAGTTGAAATGAAAGAAATTGGTGCAACTGCACCAAGAGACCACAAGATGTCAGACTAATCCTACTGTTGTCGCTTCACCTTGAATGCACATACCTGTCACATGGTCACAGATGTAAAATCTTTTTCTTTAAATATTTAACTATGCTTCCCTCCATGCTGAAATTCTGCTAGCAAAATTTCAAAATGTATATACATTTTCTGATTTAAAAGCCAATATCAGTGTAATTTTCCTCCACATCACAAAGAGCCCATAATCTAAATTCTGTTGTAATTTTTTAGCATGCCTGCCATCATGTGAACTTTAACTATATTAACCCAAATAAAGGATTCAAAATTGATTTTCAATAAGATTCTAATACCTCTTCTTTTTATGTCTAATCTACTCTCGGAGGAGGATTGCAACATATGATGACCTACTGGCCTAAAAAACTGCATCAGGCTTTATAATTATTGCATCAAGAAAGCTAGAAAAAAGACCATCTTAGTGTTCACCTATGTGAAATATTTTTTTCCTTCCTGGTATGGAGAGACAAAACTGCCATAATAAAACGTGATCAATCAATCGTTTGTGTCAGATCTGCTCCTTATTTGCACACATTGTGCTAAAACTGTGCTTGTGAAAGGGGCAGCAGTTGTTTTTGATGTTGACTACTCATTAGTATGGTGGTGCTCTCCCTGCCCTTGTTATGGCCGGCATTTCTGAAGCTGAAATTTTGTGCCCTAGACGTTGCTTGTCTAGACAGCGCCATTGTTTGCTCTGCTCACTGTGCCAAGAGTAAATCTCATTAACAGTGAGTGGAATTGGCAGAACAGGATCTCACTCACAGCCTCTCTGTGAGCACTGTGAGCTAAACATAGAACAAGAGGGGGATTATTGTATAGATCTGTGATTACAAGTGAACTGTAAACCAGTGCAGATCTGACACTATTTCCACTGAGGTGCTGATTGTGAGGGTATGTGAATGAAGAGGCATAAAACATGCGGATGATGGAGTTGAGTATGAAATATATAGAAAACCCAGACTGATATCCATCTCAAACAAGCATCAAATGCAAATATTATGAAGTAAAGACATTTCGATCTACAAATTGTCTTCCTACATGTCTTGTGTTACAGCTTTTGCTCCAGAACCAGAACCACTAGATGGCAGACGAGAATTATACTATCAAAAGGAAGCTATAGACAGGCAGTACTGTTGCCGGTTTTAGCTTCAGGGGGTGGGATTTTAATCACACTTGGAAGTAGGGCCTGGAGATATGCAATAATATATAGGGTGTACAGATCCTAGAAATAATGAGACAGTATTATGACATTTCCAATTGATTCACTAATCATGAAATAACACATTGAGGCAGTAATAAAGAGTTTGTGGTGGAAACCCAATGAGAGTGGATTATTTTTTGGGGAAAAAGCCCATGCATAACAGTATTATTGGAAAGAAGGGGTGCTATGTTACTAGGAGAAATATGATGACGTATAATCCAGTCCAAGGAGACAGTACATTTTTGATCTCTTTACTTTTTCTATTTTTCTATTTCTATATTTATATTTATGTGTACTGTTAAGCACAAGTATACCAAGGCAAATTCCTCGTATGTGAAAATGTACCTGGCAATAAATCTGATTCTGATTCTGAAGTAACCAAAATTTTTGTGAATATTTTAGATGTCTTTTATGTGTCATCTAAAATGGTTAAACGAGGCGCATGTTTGTTTTGGTCTGAGATTCTGGTGCTAGTACGACATATTGTGGGGCTGAATGTCCTATATTGCATTAATGGTCAAATATATATATAAATAATAGTACTCTATTTATTGTATATGTCACATTGTATATGAACATTTTTGGAAGCACAACAGGCCTAAATAAGAATTATGCTTACAATTGGATTAAATTCGTGTAATTGCACCTTTTTTGACTTCACTGAAGATTTGAATTACATCATGGACAAATGTCTACTAGTCAGGCCAACAATGACATCCCACCTAATATTACATGACTGTTTGAATTTATTCTGTTTTATTCTGTTGTATATATTCTGCCTTAAGGCATTACATATTTGTTGGCATAACTAATTATTGTAAAATATGTTTTATCATTACGGACAACTTTTCCAATAAGGTATAAAATGTGTAATCACAAAAACAAAGTGAATAGTGTACACAAAATGGTTAGGAAGAAGGTGACATGATTGTGGTTATGAGTGCACACTACATCTTGTGTCCATTGAACTCCTCACTTTGTGCTTTTTTAATACTAAATACAATCTTGATTTGTCTCATTACACGTTACAGTTTCGTCCATTCTCAGCCTTGGAATCACTTTATCTCAACATAGCAGTTTATGCAGCATGAGAAAACACATTTCTTCATCATGAAATAATTTTTAGCTGCATGTTTATTCATCTTAATGTTGAAATAAATGCAGTATATAAGGCATTGTTTTCCATGTCTTTAGCTCACTTGTGGTTCACAGACACCAAATGGCTGAGCCTGACTGGAAGATCACTGCTTTGTTGACAGGTGGCAGTTTTCAAACTTTCACAGGAAACACATTTTCATTCAACCTCCTGCCAAGAGTAAAAGCATTTATTAAGTGCAAAAGGAATTTCAAAAGCAGGTTTCCCTTCGTACATATGGTTGTGGTTGACGCAAGTAATAATTTTGTATATGCAAATACAGGACCCCAGGGCAGAGTGTCAGATGCTGGCGTATTTACACAATCAGACCTGAAAGTCGGTGTGTACTCTAATGTCCTCCTTGATGACACACCATCCAGCACTGATGTTATGATGTCCTATACTCATTTGTGACAAAGCCTATTCACTCATCTCCCCCATGAAGCCTTATCCCTATCGAAATCTGAACATGAGTCAAAGACTCTACAGTTACCAACTTTCCACAGCAACGCCAAGTGGAAAACGCCTTTTGAATATTTGCAAATCACTTCAGGGTTTTTAGAACAACTATCTGCCTGCATCCAGACAAGGCAGTGAGCATATTGCATGTTTGTGCCTGCACAACTTTTTACAAGAAAGAAGATCTTATGCTGGAGGAGAGAGGGTGCACTATAGCTTGCACCAGTGAGTAGATCAAGAAACCCTTCTGTTGAAGCTAAGAGACAGAATTAGCCAATACTTTGTGTCACCTGCAGGGAGTGTTTCGTGGAAAGAGGGCATGGTGTAGATTTAATGGCCTGAGTGGTCTCAAAGTCCACTTCTTCCTGCATCAATAATCACATCTCCCGCAAGCCCCTCAGTAGGACTCCTGTTTTAACCATTTAAAAAAATGAAAAGCAATAAATTAGATCATTTGTCAAATTCAGTGTGGCTACCAATAAATCTGTACTGTACTGCTACAGCATGTTGTTTTATTCTGTAAGGAGTAAACAAGGCAACCTTTTCTCACAAGATGTGATATGACAATATTGGTGGTCATGGTGGTTGTTCCCCCCCCATATTAAAGATATATTTCCTGCAGACACATAGAAAAACACATCACTGCAGAGTGGATTATATTAACATTTCTATACAAACAAGGGTGTAGGTTTGGTTTCAACATTGGAGAGGACCCTTTAGCTGGTGGTCTCAGAACATTTCCAGCATTAATCACTTCATTTCTTGAATTCTGTTGAATTGTTCTGCACCTGTTTCTGCCTTTTCTGTATCAGTCTATGGTGGAAATGTCTTTATTTATGTAAAGAGAAACACATAATTCAAGCAGCAGGTGGCAATTCAAGATATAAAAATATAATGCAGTAAAGCTCTCAGTAAGTAACCTCTTTAAATGTGCATGTGGCACCTATTTATGTCAACAATAAAATGCATTCATTTATATAGCCTTTAATAGCTCCTGTATTTCAACAGGTTTTCTGCATATTCTAAATATGTCCCACATATCTATGTTCTCTCACATGTCGTGAACAGTCATAATATTTTAACAAACTCTGCCTGCCCCACACTCTGCTGTGCATTAGCCTACGTTATTGCTCTACTTTTTTCAGATTTTTCTAATCTAAGTCTTAATTCTCTAAATCTCCCATTACAATTTTTTCCCCCTTTAACTCTGAACTACACTTCTGCCTTTTGGTTTATGTTTTTCTCTCATTAATTTGCGGCTGGCTGTTAACTGTTTGTGTACCAAATACATTGACTAGACACTGACTGACAACATATTTACATTTGTTGATCAAAATAATTGACAGTAGTTGCTTGATATTGGTAGGGACATGCTGTCCTTACTAAATTCTATGCCCTTATGTGAAAAATATATTTTGCCAATGCACTCAAATACCTATAAAACTAATGCAAAAATAACCCTGCACCGACTAGAAAGATGTTAGAACCAAGTAAACTTTAAATCTGAATCTATTAGAGTAATTTTACAAATGTGCCCCTCTTCTTTAAAGCTGTGCTCCATTTAACCGTTTGACTTCTCCAGATTGAGGGGGTCGTCGTCCTTTTCAGGTTCCGCACACTTTTGTGCTAGCTACAGCTTCCAGACAAGCTGTGCCTACATAAATATAGCCTATTGTGCGCGCATTCTATTGACTTTACGGTAATACACTCCCTCTGCGCACCGTGCCTTGTAGGAGCTCACGGCTTCAGATCCAGCAACACCTACAACGACGCGTATGGAAGATTGCCCAAAAATGGACTCTCTGCAGCTAAAAACAGATATCTGACCCGAGCAATGAACGCAGTGGAATGATTGCTCTCCACCGATCCGCGATGCTTCACTGTGAATAGAGGGATAAACAGAATTTCGCAAGCTGTTTTGCATGCAGCCAACAGGGCGCATGAAGTCTGGGAGATATTTTCCCACCCTGTTCAGTTCGTCCAGCGACCGTGCAGTGCGTGCACTGCTGGTTTTTATGTAAAGGACCAAGGAGTGCCTGGCTTAAGCAATAACATTTTTTCCCCTGCAAGATGTTTTGAGCTTCTAGGGGTCTGAGAGCGGCTGGTGTCGTCAGGGGGTTTCTTCACTGCGCAGACAAGCGGCGGAGCGTCTCTGCGCTACCGCACGTCTCCTCCACAACACAAAAGACAGTTCAGGAGGAAGGAGGCGGGGAGCTGGAGAAGGTCTTCGGGCTGGAAATCTGGAAATATACAGCGTTAAAATGACGATGTCCGTCCCGGAGAGGAAATCAGGCTCGGAGGGGAAGGAAGAGGAGAGCGAGGATGAGAGTGAAATCTTGGAGGAGAGCCCGTGCGGCCGCTGGCAGAAACGGAAAGAGCAGGTTGGTCTGTTTGTCTGTGTGTGGGCGCTTTTCCTTAAATTGCTAGCAGTCTGCTCTTTGATCAGGAAATAAATCAGTCTGTGTGCCCTATCTGATCATATTGCATCCTCTGTTATGCAATTCTAGATCCAGGCCGAGGCAGCCTGTTATTGCCCCCATGGTGTTTTGCACCATCCCGCCATAAATCTAACACAGTGACATGATCCTGATCTGCGTAGAAGTCTGTTTCAGAGGGTTTCAGTAAAAGGAATAGCGTAGTTTTCACCCCACCACTTTATTCTCAGGTCTCTGACTGGAGGATTTCTGCTCAGGATCTGCACAATGAACCCGGGACCCTGGAGCTTATGATAGGCTGCACTCTCTGACTTTTAATCCAGGGTTGCAAATCACACTAACACATGTGAGCGTGTATAACAAGTCTGCCTCCTTCTCTTTATATCCGAGATTGAAGCTTATATTTTATGTTGTATCATTAATGCATACGTGTGTATGTGTGAGACAGAGAGAGCGAGCAAGCATGAGAATTGTTGCGTAATTAAATATAAAGGACAATCATTAACATTCATCAAATATAAAGTCAATTTTATTTATGGAACCAAAGAGCTGAAACAATTAGTAATCGGCAACCATTTTGATAATCGATTGAGTCACTTTTCCGGATGTCGAAAAAGATCTGATGATCAGTTAATCAAGAAAACAAGCAACACATTAATTGTTAATAAAAAAACAATTAATAGTTGTAACAAATCAACTATTAATCCTTTTAATTATTGATATTCTCCCTGTTTGTTTCTTTATTATTTTATTAATCATTTGGTATAAAATGTCAGTAAAAATGCAGAAGCATTATCAGCAAGATGAAGGCGACTTCTTTAAAATAGTTTTTCATCTGACTAATAGCCCAAAACCTCCAAATTATTCAGTTTATTACCACTTAAGACAAAGAAAAGCAGCAAATCCTCACAATTTAGAAGCTGGAACCCAGGAATGTTTGGTATTTTTGAGTTAAAGATTACTTGACTTAAATTACTTAAATGACTAAATTAAATTAAATGACTAATGTGGCCTATTATCAACAAATAGTTTCAGCTCTAATTTTATTTATATAGCAGAGACATTTGACAATCTGTACAACATATGATCCCCTCTATCGTCGATTCTGAGGCGGACATGCCACGAAAAATTGCAAATTCTTCTGTCTGTGTCAGGAGCAGGTTCAGATTACTTGGCAAGGGGCTGATTTGCAGAATATTATTGTTAACTGTTATTTATAAACTTCAATAAGTTTGTAGTAATTCATTCTGCTTTTAATATTATTGAGTGCTACACGCCCCCTGTTTATCCAGATCTGCAGCTTTATTTATGACTTTGCCACTTTATCATGTGAGGATCAGCAGTAGTTGGATTATCCAGAATACATTAGCATCACAGTAAAGAACCCAGTGGCCTTGTTCGAAGCTTTCCCTCCCATAAATCATCACATGTTTGTTCAAAGACATAAAACGCAGCACAGTGACTTTTCCAGCTGGTGTGTTCACTTCACCAGTAGTGGCTGAAGCCTGTCCACATGCTCCATGTGAGGAATAGAAGGCATTTACAAAAAATCTCCCCTAAAAACTTCAGTTAGGATTATCTAAATATTTCAGCAATTGTAAAAAAGCGGGCGTTGCCTCGTGTCCTGCAGATAAGACTGAGAATTTAACTTGAAAGTTATCTCTCGAACACATGTTGCCTCCTCTGACGCCGCGACCACCTCACCACACTGCACTTTATGTGCCATTGAGTATCATTCATGTTGGAAATGACACACACACACACATACACACACACATTACCCCACCCTGGGGTTTTTCCACCCATTGATTATCAGTGTGTTTTCTGGGCTGCCTCTTTCCCTTCCACTGAGAGCATCAGTTAGAGCCGGTATATAAAATGAAATAACAGTAGTAAAAATCCATATCAGAATATCAATAGCTATAGATATCAGCATATGTAATGAAAAAAAAATGTATGGTAATCAGCAAATTTCTGATTTAAACTCATTTTACAGACACTTTAAAAACTAAGTTTGTTTGTTTTGAATCACAAAATGCTTGGAAGCTTGAATATGGGAAGTAAAATACATAACAGATATGTAGGGCGCCTGTCATTTGGGTAACTGTTTGCCCGCTAAATGTCAGAAAAGTGCCACAGATGGCCCCCGAACCACAAGGTTGCTTCTTTAAATTTTGTCCATCTAGAAATCTAGGGTATGCCCTTTATGACATAAAGCAGAAAAAAAGCACCAAATCCGGACATCTGTGAACCTGTAACTAGCAAAATGTTAGCATTTCTGCCTTATAAATTAAAGAAAATATTTGTAAGTCTATAAAATGTCAGAAAACTGTGAAAAATGTCTGTCATAAAGACCCAGTGTGAAGTTATCGAATTGAAGAACAGTCCAAAACCCCCAAAATACTAATTTTACAGTAACATAAAACTAAGAAAGGCTGCAATCTCTCACAATTGAGAAGCTGCAACCAGAAAATGTTTTAGCATTGTTCTGACATAAATGACAATTCATCAGCTGTTATTAATTCTATAATTATTGTAGGTTGATCTTTGGCTGATTGACATTGATTCATAAATTAATCATAGCAATGTGAGCTTATCATCATCATCATCATCATCATAAAAGTGCATCAAAAGCTGATTAATGATAACGTTGTGTCTATATCACCATGATTTTGATGATGCTTTCAGAACTGCACTTAGTCACACCACTTAAAGCCCATCATTTCCAAGCATAATGCCTCATGCTTTTACTTAAATGCTCACCACGGCGTAGCTCACCTGGTGATTGTGCACATGTGATTGAGTAGGAGTATTTTTATTGTTATTGTTTGTTTTTTTAATGATGGAACAAAGAAGCAAAACATTTTGCTTCAGTTGCCAAGTTTCAGTGTTGATACAGGTTTGATCCGGAATATCATAGACAAAATGAAACCATGTGACGTTATCTCTGCGGGGACCAGCGGAGCCAGTAACTGTTGGCTGTTAGTGCTCCAACAGGTAAAAAATCATAGCCTTGTTGAAGTACAGTAGCTAAATGAAAACGTTGAGATATTTCTATGCAAACCTGTTTGTTATGATTCGTCTGTGTTTGCTGGCTCCCTGCTCTCTCCATCAGGCATGGGTGTGTCTGAGCGTCAGGCTTAAAACGCACATCAACACTCAGTAAATGTGTCAGTGGGTGAAAGTTGAGAATGCACGCATTCATATCTGTTATTCAGCTCAGGCATTCAAATAAACACAGTGACATTGTCAGCACATGGTATTGTTGCCTTGTTTTCTCAGCAGAACCGCAGTCAGGAATGTTTTTTTGTTTTTAAACTGGATGAACGTATTGCCTTCAAAGTCAGTCCATCCCTCTTGACTCAACACACAGAGTATTGATTTTTCTGAGGGGCCGAGCGGTGTGCAAAACTGTGTGAGCTGGGGAACAACAACTGTAAAGGCTTGTAGCTTGTTGGTGAAAAACTTTCCTGGCTCAGATATTTATGCGAAAAGTTACACCACGAGAGGACACAAGAAATTTATTCTGAAAACTGAAGTTGGTGGTCTAACACGTTATTTTATTTCCAATAAATTAAAATTAGTGGATGATGTAGTGTTGAAAGATAATCCTGCTGCTGTCTTTGTCAACATTACTAACTAGGAAGTCTTCATGTCAGCAGCCACATGATTTACAAGTTCATGCTTTGTGACTGGTGGCACGTAACGTCTGATTGAGTCATCTCTGCCTCTCCAGAGTGGGGAAATTGTACTAATCGTTCCATGAAGAAATATTGCACACCATGTGCAGAGGTCAGACACTGGATACTGTGCGAGGTGAAAGGGACAGGTGCATGTTGGGAAGTTAGTTATTGGAGTTTGACCTGCTGATTTGGCCCACTTATTAACATCATCAGCAGTTTGAGCTGCAGCAGTGGCTGTAACACAAAACTCATGGATGCCTTTATGGTGCTTTAAAACGCTTAGCGCCCAATTCACCAAATTTGCATCAAAATTCATACTCCTTCTCAGAGCCGTCAAATCTGAAAACACTTACATGGTGGACATATTTTTACATTCACTGTGATGCACACTTTCTGAGGATGTTCTTATTTCTTGTGTCCATCGCGAATAAACATCCATATATCCGCTTAGAAATCATAGAAAACAACGCTCTTATAACGCCAGAACTTGCCTGAGAAGTTGTCTTCAGTATCAAAGTAGACCAGTGGTAGTTGTCTGTACATTCATGTGTACACTGCAACCAGGACCTGCTCAAAGCAAATTTGTAGTCGAGTCACAGTTTCGATTATAGATTGTTTATCGATTTGAAATGAGCAACAGAGGAGGAAAATCCTCCTTCTTCCCTAAAGTCCACGGTATTGCAGCATTTTCCCTTCCCCCTGAGTTATGTCGAACTACAGTTTGTAGGCTAGGCCACACACAGGTAACATACGCCACCTGAGGCAACACTACAAATATGGCAGGACATCTTGGCAGGATTAGAAATAACAGAACAAACAGTTGTCGGGGCATAAAACAAATGATCTGTTGTTCTTTACAAATCAAGACTCGATAGTCTAACAATGGCATAGCCGTCAGTGCTAAAAAAAAAATAAAAAGCTTAAATTTGAAAAGATCTTAAAGTTGAAAATCAAATCGATTGTGGATTTGGAGAGTTGTGACTTTTTATGGTGCCAATTTACCAAAATGTGAACAAATATTATGAGATATATATATATATATATATATATATATATATATATATATATATATATATATATATATATATATATATATATATATATATATATATATATATATATATATATATATATATATATATTTTGTAAAAAAGGAGGCTCAAGTTGTGGCCCACAGCTACTGACTACAGCCCACAGTGTCTGAAATCAGGAGTTTTCAGTCATGACAGCTCAGTGGGCGTTACCTCCAACATGGACACAATC